ACTCTATACTCCAGTCTTTCTGGAGACATAAAACATGAATAAACCTTGGTTAGCTAGTTCACTTGGTATATAGTACGGAGTGCAATAAAATGTCTGCTTTTATTAGATAAAGACTTTTGCTTCATGACGGCATCTTCTTTTGTCTAGGGCTTGCTATTTTTCAAGTTTCGAAATAATCAAGATGAAGACAGGATAAGAAGTTAGCCGTTGACATCTTTGATAAGCTGATTTTATTCATTACAGCTGCAATGTCAGTTGATCATATACAATGAATGAAACAGATAATTGAATGATGAATAGACCACGTTCTTTCGAAAACATGTTGACACGCTTTGACAGAGTGCTCATAGTGATAAGTCTTCCCATGTATAAGTGACAGCTATCTTGAGACCCCATCATCGATGGTGAAAGACGTTGATGATATGCGCTTAAAAGCAGCACATCAATGATGTCTTATTGTGGCATATGAAACACTTTCTGATTCAAGTTTTGAGGGATAAGTAAAACGATGGCTTAGAAATGTCCTGCAAAGTAGCTCGATGAAAACAATCTCCCTATGATTACCACTAGTAGTTACATCGTGTTTCACTTTTAATCTCGTAGGAATAGCGCCGACGACTTTTTTCTCATATCCGAGAGTCATGCTTCACATCTCAGTTCGTATCCGAGTTTCACGTAAATATCATTTAGTTTTCCAGTGTTTTTCTATTTTTTACTTCAAGCCTTGTCATCCGAAAATTTCTTCTAAAATTCTGAAACATATATCAGTGTTTGACATAATTCAAATTCCTATGACCTGAACCGCACTCTGATATCGACCACTTTTCTTTCTTTTGAAAAAATCAATTTCTCAATCCTTTTTTCTTTCTTTCATTTCGTAATTGGAAACAAGGAATGTGTCCTTGGCTTCTTTTTTGTCCTTGATATTTCGCCGACATTTTGTAAATGATACAACACAATCGTGGTGTACAATTTTTTCTTGTTTGTCTTTCTTCTTTTTTATGCATACAACTTGTGACATTTATATCACCATTGAACAGATAGTGCACTCGTTATGCATCGTTGTCCGATACTAATAAAGGAAAGTTGATGAAGTAGAAGAAAAGCTCAATGAAATCTATGACGTTTTGTTCTCTTGAGTTTTTTCACGCGCTCTTAAAGAACTTTTACATAAAAATAAAATATATAAAATGACTTGTATATTTGCAACATATTCAAATGATAGCTCTATTCCAAAGTTCAAATATTTTTTCGTAAGCCGTACCGATTCAATGCATAATTCTTCAATTTGTTCGAACGAGAAAATTTAATTCGAAAAAACAAATATTACGATTTTATAGAGCGAACAATTAATTCTCTAGCAAATGATTATAGATTGACTTTCTGAAAGTGTATCTAAGTGATCCGAAAAAAGAATATGACATTGTCTCATTTAATTTGCATCATCCGTTGACGAAAAGTAAACGTTCGAAGAACAAACATAAAGACATCAAACGCACTTCTTATTTCTAGATGTTGGTGTTTCAAGGAAACAATTAACTCAATGTCATGTTAATTAGTACTATGCGGATGTTTATATTACTTCTGCTAATGCATTGTATTGCCTTTATGTTCCAAAGAAATTTAAATGAGTGCAATGCTGTTAGTCAATCATAAAAAATTATCTAAATTAAATTCTTTTTATGATTGAAACTAATTAATGCATTGGTTGTATTCTCTCAAAATCTTATATTACAACAAAATCATACGATTTGTTATTGTCAAAAAAAAAGATTAGCTTTGTGTATAAAGATTTTACTGTATTAACTATTAAAAGTCAAGGTTTGCCACAGTGTTTATATCACCCATGATTAAGGATGTGTCGGACGAAGTTTTTTTTAGTTCTTTTCTAAAGAAGATTATTCCAAAAGTTATCTGTATCAAATCTAAAAGAACATACTTCAATAATTCTTTGTTTATTTATTTTTTCTATGACTAACACTAACTTGAGTCATCTCTCTTGAATTATGTTCTGATTGATATGATTGATAAAATAATCTGCTTAATGCTATAGAATATTTAACTTTAATCTTTAGTTCCAGTTGAGACAATTTTTTCTCGTGTTTCTAGAAAGCCTTTATAATTAAGTCTCGTACAGACCTATTCATGATATGCATAGAGAATATAAAAAGAAACAAGCACATCCTTTGGGTTAAAGAATTCAATAATATAAAATTTTTCTATCGTTTTCTTTTCTAAAATTTTAAAAGCAATTTCTTTGTTGAATATATCAAATCAAATGATTGAAATCAAAGATAAGATCGGTTCGCATTTCTTTTCTGGAGTCGAATCGATTTCATGTCTGATGGAAATAAAATACGAATCGACACAATTCAAGTATTTTGTTTTCTTTTATATATTCAAAGTAGAGACTTGCAGAAGAGTCTCGAATTTCAAAGAATCTCGTTTGTTACATAGAATTTTGATTAAAGGAGAAATTTTAATATAAACAATTCGAATGTATCATCTCACTTCTTCTAGTATTCCGAAAGTCTGAAAAAAAAGTCGAAGATTTTTATCCTATTATGCATAAAAAATGATTCTCACACATATTCCTTTTTTTTTTCGTTTTATCTAATTACATCTATAGTCATTATAAAGTTCAGACTTGTTTTTATTTGTATGTGATTATAAAACAAATTCCAAGAAAAAAAGGGATTCAAATTTAAAAAAAAAAGAACAAAGGTTATGTCATGCAGACAAAGAGAAAAAAAGAAGAAACGAATCGTATACAAGAGAAATAAAACAAAAAAAACAAAACTCTACTTAATATTATACGTATTAATTGATCCTAGAATTCGTCGCCATAAAAAGTATTTTCTTTTTTCAAATATAAAATAAAAAACAGGGATAAACAACATGCAAAAAAAAAGAAGAAGAAAGAAAAAATGAATAGAGAAGTATGTTTGATTGACAGTAGAGAAAAAAAATCCACAAAGCGACACAATAGTGTAAAGTAGAGAAAAAAGAAAAAAAAAACATAACACAAAAGAAGAAATAAACAAAACAATTTTGTGAGAACAATAAAATAAAAACTCCTGAGAAGAACTTTTTTTTTTTGAAACTTGTAATATGATATTACTTCTACGAAACTATCACATTAATAATTGAGTTGAGTATTTTATATTCGAAGAAATTAATCTCAAAATCAATCTTTCTGTACTCATTCATTGATTTTTCTTAATAGTTTATTTAGAAGTTTTCAAATTGGTAGAAATGGTGAAGAAATCAAAGGCCGATGTTCTTGTTAAGAAGAATAAGGATCAATATATATTAATTTCTAAAATTAAGATAATTCTCATTTGATTATAATTGAGATAAGATAGAACATATGTATTGAATGAATTCATTCAATTATTCTAATGAGTTTGATAATATTCAATGATGAATAGCCTATAACATTAAAGTCTTGATACAATATATTCGCTCATTTTTGACTAGTAAAAGACAACTGATTATAGTCAGAATCAGAATTTTTCGCTATTTCAGAATGCCTTGTATTTAATGCTCAGTATGTTCTTTATCACAAGCTTAGAAATTAATTTAAAAAACTCTGTAGTTAAACATGTTGGTGTCGACCTTATAGTAGCACACACACCTCACATTCACACTCTTAGATACGGCCACATGCCAAGCTACAGCGGCAAATTATCAATTCACTGAGCAAATATAATAGTTACCGAACACTAAATTTTATTCTGATAATGTGTCCTCTTTCCGAATATATGTTCAGATTTTCCTTCTAGGGTTATATTAAACAATGATCAGTAAATTTTACGAAAAAGTTCAAAACTCTGTCTGTACAAAGTAAGATAGTGATGTTGACAAAGTATTTAACATGTGTCTTGAAACCGTTTCAATTCAGCATTATTGTAGAACACTAAATTCTGTACAAAATTAGATATTGTTATAAGAAAAATATCATACTACTCAAAACTTATGCGTATCAATTGGTCCATAGACAGACTGAAGTAAAAAAATATCGAAAGAAAATAAAATGGATGCGATCATGAGTGTAGGTAATGAAAAGACTAGAATCTACACCCACGTCCTTTATACGAAACATAACGAATATTCAATCGGAATAGAAAATTGAACAAAATAGAATTCTGTAGAAACATTATTTTGGATCTTTTGAAAATAATCTTACAATAGTTGTTCAATCTTACCTTGAAAGAAAATTCTGAACATATGTTGAAAAACAGCGAAAAAGCCTGATTGTAACTAATTGCTTCTGCTTCTAACCGGCTATATTTAAGTGGTCGAAAAATGAATGAATGTTTTATGTCAAGACTTTCGCTCTAGAGTATTTGTTTTTATTATAAAAATGTGAAAGTTTATTTCTACTACTTCTTTGAAATCAAGGTGAGATCTTACTAGACTCATTTATGAGAAAAATATCTATTTGTCCTTTTTTTTTTTTATGAAATAATATTCTAATACAAGTCCATAAAATTTAATATGATTCAAATCGAGGAATTTTATTATAAAATTTTGATCGAAAAATTTTATATTCAATAGTATGTTTTAATCAAAATAAAACTCGAATTTCTATCTGTATTTTTCTATTTGTTTATTCTAATTTTTTGTATTGAATTTCATTTGTAAAATTCTTACCTATTATATTCCTACGTAATAAATGTCATGATAATTATTTCAATTGAACTATTATCTACATATTATATTTTATAGATAGCGTATGATAATACTATTGAATTTGACTTCGAAAGTATTGAAAATTTACTGGGAATCAGTATGTATTGATAGATTTTAGAAGCTAAATGATTCGAAATAATAACATTATAATTTGTATTCATCATTATCTCCTATAACTTACTCTTATTTATTGTTCTCATATATTGATTTGTATTTCATCTTAATGTTATTGTATTTTATTGATGAGATTTGAATAAATTAGATTGGTGTAGAAAAAAAAAGAACGAAGAGGAAGAAGAGGGTTATTAAGATGTAGATTGATGATATTGAGAACGAGCTGACGAACTTGTTTGTTGAGTATAATTTGTTGTAGTTTGATCATCATATGATGGAACAATGCCATGATTTGGTCGACTACGTAATTTAGCACCAAAAATTTTAAATGGATTTGGATCATTATCAGTATTTGTTGTTCTTATTATTGATGGTTGAATATTTTCTTTAGCAGCTGAAACCAAAAATGAAACTGGTTCAAATTTTGGTTTTTTTCCTTGAACTGTATATGTTATTTCACTATGTTGGTCATGTTGCGATTGTTGTGAAGGTATTTGTATAACTTCTGTTTCTTCAGTAATTTGTGTTACAACTTGCGATGGACTTACTTTATAAGATAATACTGATGGGTCTGATTGTGAATAAACTCTATAAGATGCTGATGATTGTTTTGCTGAACCCATTGGTCGTTCATATTGAAAAGTCGAAGATACCGATGAGGTATTTAATTGACGACGTGTTGGTGATATTCGTTCATGCGTTGCTAAAAATAAATAATTATTTATTATAATTCAATAATACAAAAAAAAATTATATCTAAAATCTACCTTTAATAATAAGACGTGCTGTTGTACGACATGTTCCAAATGAATTTTTTGCTGTACATGTATAATAACCTTGATCATCCAAAAATGTTTCTGGTATATAAAGTGTTGCTCGTCCATCACTATAATAGTCAATACGAAATGCTGAATCAATACTAATTACATCACCATCTTTATCCCATATAATTTCTGCTAATGGTAAAGCTAAAATATTGAACAAATAAAAATAATATAAAATAAGAAAATTTTATTTTTAAATATTTACCAGATATAATAACTTCAAAAAGTACAGATTCTCCTTCTCGAACTGTTTGATCATGTAAAGAAACAATAAAATATGGTGGATAATTTTGACTTGAACTAATATTTGTTCTTTCATTATATTTAACATTATCTGTTGTTTGTACTGTTTGTTTAGTTGCTGTTCTTAAGCTTCTAGTACCACTTGCTGAATATTGTTCTAATGTATTATTAGCTCCAGTTAAACTACCCGAAACAATAAACTCAACTGGTTCTAATTGACGTGGTTCAATTTCTAAAATAAAATAAAAAAAAATAAAAATTATAATTTTAAATGTATATATACAGTATTGAACAAAAATCTTTCTGTCCGCAGTAGACCTTAGCTTCCATACAGGCAAAAAGTTCGAAATTTTGTATGCACATACTTCAGCAAGAATGTAGGTCAAAGACACAAGGTTGTTGCGATAGCTTAAATGAAACGATAATTATGATGAATGGTGCCTATTTTTACTTCATAGTTTTTTTTTACCGGAAACAATTTGTCTTTGAGCTCTCGGCACCAATAAAATGATTATTAGCATGTCATGTCCTTTTAGAAGAAGGTTCTTTTCTGAGATTTCTAGGCAATAGTATTTAACTATAGGCAAAGTTTTGTTAAAAATTTGAACTCAATTCATTCAAGCGCTACTGAACTACGAATTGCAAAAGATCATCAGGAAGTTTTTTATTCCTTGAGACCGGCTAACCCATGAAATATTTTCTTTTCGAAAATATAAAACTCAAAAGAAAAATAAATTATATACATCATAATTTCTGTTGTGTTTAAGCAATCGAAGCCAGTCGATAATTCTGATCTACGTTCTTGATCGATATATACACACAAATTTTCATATTTTCTACTACGTATTGTAGCTAAGATATGATAGATGTGAGAAGACTTTTGTTCACTACTATGTATATGATTTTTTTTTGTTACCAGTAATCAGTGTTGAACTGTTTTCTGAAACTCCAACATTGGTACCAGTTGTCGTAGTCATTCGTTCTCTAGCTGTCATTTTTGAACTATATTCTTGTCGTTGTTGTTCAGACATTGATGATTTTCGACGATTATCAATATCGTATGTATATTCTGTTGGTCGATTTAAATCTGTATATAATGTTGATGAACTATCTCGTATTTCATAACCATATTGATCTTGAGTACTACCCGTACTTAAAATATACATATCTTTAGTTTTTGTTCGTTTATCATCTAATTTAGCCACAATTGTATGTGAACTTGGTTGTCGATGTAAATGTAATTCTACAGGTGCTGCTTTAACATCATCATGTTGTAAAATAAGTTCACTACTCGATTTAACAGGATATTGTATAGGTGGTGGAATAACAACATGTGTTTGTGATGTATCAAGTGTTTGACGAACATCAGCTAAAACAACTGATGTACTATCTTGTATTTGTGGACGTGGAAGTATAAGTTCAACTTCAGATGGTTGAATTTGTTGTGATACAGTATCAAGTATAAGTGCAGATGAACTTTCTTCCATTGCTTGATATGGATTTCCAAGTACTTTTATTTGTTGTGTATCTAATGTTGCTTTAACATTAGCAAGTACTGTTGTTGAACTTTCACCTATAATTGGTTGTCTCATACGTATTTCAACTGGTTGTGGTATAACATTTTGTACTGTATCATCTAAATAAAATGTTGATGTTGATCTTTCAGGTTTAACTTCACTTGCACGTATTTCTTTTGTTTCAAGTTTAGCTGCAACATCAGCTATCATTGTTGATGTACTTGTTTCAATACGTTTTGGTTTAGGCATAACTAATTCAACTTCTTCATCTAAACGTTTTCTTTGTTCAAGAACAAATTTTGATGATGATTTTTCTGTTGGTGGTGCATCAATTTTAGCACGTATACCAGCCATAGCTGGTGCAACTTGTGCAAGAACTGTACTTGTTGATGATTCAATACCAATACGTGGTATAATTAATTCAAATGGTGCTGTTGGTTGTTCAGCATTTAATTCCATTGTTAATGCTGTACTTGATTCTTGAATTGGTGGTGGAACATAAGGACTTGCTTTTAATTGTCCTTGTATACCTAATTCAGGTTGAATATTAGCTATAAGAACACTTGAACTATCTTGTATATGTGGTTTACGTATACGAAGTTCTAATGCTTCTTCTTGTTCTTGTTGCATATGCATTGTTAATGATGAACTACTTTCTTCTGTTGTTTTGATTTGTTGTTGCATATCTGTTGTTGGTCGAAATGATTTTAATTCTAAACCAGGTTGAATACTTGCAATTAATTTTGTTGAACTATCACGTATAAGTGGTTTTTCGAAAACTAATTCCATTTCATCATATTGTTCTTGTAAACTTTGCCTATTTAATTCCATATCTAATTTAACTGAACTATCTTCTGGTATAACTATTGTTGTCGGTTTAATTGATGTTATTTGTGTTGGTGCTTGTATATCAGCTATTAATTTTGATATACTTGGCATTATTTTTGGTTTATCAACAACAAGTTCAACTGGTTCAAATTTAGCTCGTGCTTGTTTAACATATGTTGTTGTATGTTCACCAGCACTTGTCCAACCACTTTCCTCTTCTTCTTGATATTGATAACGTTTTCGACGAAGTGTTTCTTCTTCACCAGCTGATGAAGCAAATACTTCATCATAATCACTTGAACTTATTGGACGATGTGAAAGTTTCTTTACAACAGTTGTTGAATGTTCTTCAATACGTTTTACTTGTGGTTTAGGTACAATAAATTCAACTTCACTTTCAGCACCTTTTTCCATTTTTGTACTTGAACTTTCAACAACTGTTAATAGATGTTCACCAGGAATTTCACGAAGACGATCATCATAAACAACTTCTCTTGCATGAACTTGTTTAACTAATGTTGACATATGTTCACCTTCGAGTGGACCTATAACAGGTTGTTTTTTAGGAAATAAAACTTGCATTTCACCAAATGCTTCAATTGGTTTTCCATAATATTTTGTTTCATGTTCACCTAATTACCAAAACAAAAAAAAATCAAATATTTGTCTGTTTTTTTTTTCTTTCTATATTTCTATTCCGATTCTTACCAGGTATTGGTTTTGTCTTATCAATAGCATATATGTATGGTTTTCCACGTTGTTCTTTAACAACAGTTGTACTATGTTCTGCTGATACTTGTGGTTTAGCAACTAATAATTGCATTGTATCAGCTCTAGCTTCAATAGATTCTTCAATAATTTTAGTTTCATGTTCACCTTCAATTGTTCGGTGTGTTGTATCAACTTCAATAATTGGTCCTTTACCTCGACTATGTTTAACAATTGTTGTTGTATGTTCTGGACGTTCAACTTGTTGTTTAGGTAATTTAACTTCAATTTCTTCTTCAATACGAACAGCATCACGATAAAATTTTGTTTCATGTTCACTTTCCATTTTTTTTCCACTACCAGTTATTTCTAAAACACGTCTATGTGGTTGTGTTTCTGTTACAATTGTTGTTGTATGTTCAGCTGTTTCAGTTACACTTTTTGGTACAATTAATTCTACACTATCAAGTGCACCTGATTGAATTGGTTTATCAACTAAACGTAATTCATGTTCACCTTTTAATGTTGTTTGAATATTATCAATAGTAATACTTGATGGTGGTGCACGAGTTTGTTTAACAATTGTTGATGAATGATGACTTGGTGGTGGTGGAATAGGTGGTTTAGGAAATAATAATTCTACTGGTTTATTATGTAAACCAGATGATATAGGTTCTGATATAACACGTAATTCATGTTCACCTTCAAGTGTATGTTCACGTGTTAATGCACTACTTATATCAAGTGTTTGATAACGACCACCTTTTTTTGATTCAACAACAAATGTTGTTGAATGTTCAGCTGGTACTATTTCAATTGGTTTTGGTATTGTAAATTCAACTGGTCGTGTTTGACCTGATGTTATAGGTTCTTTAATAACACGTAATTCATGTTCGCCTTCAATTGTTGTTCGTTGATGTGTTTGTTGTATATTTGTTGTTATTTTACCTGTTGAACGTCGAACATCTTTAACAACTGTTGTTGAATGTTCACCTTGTGTTGTTAATATTTGTGGTTTTGGTACAAGAAGTTCAACAGGTTGACGTTCTGTACGAACATATTTAATACTTGTTTCACCTGGTATTGAACTTGTTGATGAATAAATACGTATAGGTTTTAAACGTTCTTTACGTTTAAGACGATATTCCATTGTTGTTAAATCATCTTCACTTGTAGCAAAACCAGCTTCACTTGTTGTTGCTGATGGTGTTGTTGTATATAATTGTTTAGCTGTTGGTATTAAACGTTTATAAAGTAATTCTTCTGAAAATGAACGTTGTGCTGTTGTTAAACGTTGTATACCATCTTGACGTGTTGAATATGACATTGTTGATTGTTGTTCTTGATGTGGTCGAACAGAAAAATTATCAATAAATTGTTTTTCAAATTGATTTAAACGATTCATTGATGATGATGTTGTTGTTGTTGCTGCTGTTGTTGTTGTTGGCATTCGATATGTTGATCGTTGCATAATTTCTTCGGTTGTTGTTGCTGTTCTTGTTGTAGGACGTTGATGATAAATTTCTTCAATACTTTCATATTCTTCTTGTGTATCAACAGTCGTTTTTTTTTTTCGATCATCACATGATTTTCTTTGTCGTTTAGTTTTTTCATATTCATTTGTTAAATCACGTAAACAACGTAAATATTCACGTTCTTCATCAATATCAACTTTACGTTGTTGTTTAGCACTTGCTGATGATGAACGTCGTCGTTCTTCAATTTCATATTCATAACTTCGTGTCATTGTTGATGATTTTGCACCTTGTTGATGTTGACTACGTTCTTTTTCAAGTACATCATAGGGAATAAAAACATCAATTGATTTTGGATATTGTCGTCGACGACATTCATCTTCACGTGTTAATGAATGTGTTCGTTCAAGTGAAGATCGTAATGGACGATAACGTTTATTTGTATTTGATGATATAAATGATGATTGTTGTCGTTGTTCATATTCTTGTTCATATGAACGTGTATTTGTTGATGATGTTTGTTGTTGTTGTTGTTGTTGTTGTTGTTGTTGTTGAAAAGTTTCAATATGTCGTTTTCGAGGTAATGGTGGTGAAGGTGACATTTCGACTAGTAAATTGGACAACATATTGCTATTTTTTTCAGTACCTTCTGATGAAGATACACAGAGACAAGTATAAAATTTATTAGTCTAGAGATGTATATAAATAGATATATATATAGAATATATATATATACTCTATACACACGACGATAAGACAATATTCAATGTCGTTTGAATGAAAAAAAAAAACACTTTCTTTGTTAGAGATATAGACTAGACGATAGATTTTGTAGGCGAATGTCTATGTTTTCTTCAGATTATCTTCGTCCTTTTTTTTCCTCGACAACCACATACAAGAGAGTACATCATCAATAGTGCTAAAAATGCGCATTAAGCCATAGGCAAACCGCACATATACATATTCAGAAAGAAACAGGTTTAGTCTTATCTAGACAATTACTGTAAGGAGAAAAAAAGAAAGGAGAATATATATATACATAATATACGAGAAGACAACAGATGACAATCTAGGTTATTTTTATTCTGCCCACCTATTCGAATACCATCACCGCCGCTAATTATATGACGTATTACTGTTCTCACTTACGTAAGTCATATCAAGGAAAAGAAAGACCTTCGATAGAACAATTTCTACTATAAATATACACATATGGATGAAACAAGTCGATCATCACTTCTCGCAAAGACATAGGAATATAAACGAGCTGTACTGTATTATACTATTAGAGATTTTCCTCTTCTTCTTCTTTTTCTCTATCAATCGCAAAACAATGGTTTTCTCACTTTCTGTGATCATTTTTCTTCATTGTCTCGTCTATATTATCGTTGGTTTTTTATTCTAGAATCAATCATTACTCTGAGACGGTGTATTCTACACGGTTATATTTGCAGCTAGTTTTTTTTTTTTATGCTTTATATATACATCGAGAGAAAAAGAGAAAGAGAGAGAGAGAGAGAGAGTGTGGGGTAACTAAATGGCTTGCAGATGGATATACATCGAGCGAGTTCTTTCTTATTCTGTTAGTTTTTTTCCATTAATTGTGTATATTCCTTTGCTCAAGTCTTACAGAAACAAGAATAGATCTTAACACGTAGGAAGATAGTACAAAACAGGATAGCGAGAAAATGAGTTGCTGTCTTTCTGTTCGTTACTTAATCATATAAAAGAAAGCAAGAAAAACTATAGCTTACATTATTCGTATTAGGAGAAAGCTGTGGGAGGAGAAAGATATTTATTGATGATATTAAGACCAACACAACAAGAAGAACAAAATATATCGATATGTGGTGTTACTATTTTTATGGTGCCTCTTTGTTTTTTTTTTTTCATTGTCAACAGAATAATTTTAGACATGAAACAAGAGAAATTAGATTATAACAATTAAACGAATATTAAAGAACATTCTCAAAGTAGACGCATAAAAGAAAAACACAAAATAAATAATATGAAAAATTCTTTGAAACAATAAAGATACATGATAATGTACTAAAGCCTGTCGGATCTGAAAAAAAATTTAATGAACCGTCTTGGGATTCAGAATTTATTTTCTTGGCATACACACTCACCCGTCCCCTCCGCCAAAAAACAAAACAATTTCTTTTACCTGGTATTGTACTCGGTGGAACAAATAATTCAGCTGTACATGTCGCCTTTCCCCAAGCATTTTCAACATTTAATGTATATCGTCCAGCATCTTCATAATGAACATCAAAGATTGTTAATGAATAAGTATCATTAAAATTTTGTTGTTGATAACGTTGATCATGTTGTATATTAGATATTGGTGTTCCATTAAATAACCAATAAACCTAGACAAATAAGAAAATCAAAATCAAAAAAAGAGAAAGAGAAATTGCTTTGTTTTTTTTACATTTAATGGTTGTGTACCATTTATTCGTGCTTCAAATTTAATTATTGAATTAATTACTGTTTGTCGATCAGTAAATAATTGTAGAAATTCAGGTGGAAAACCATTTGGTTGAATATTTATTTGTTCATTATTCATTGGAATATTATTAATTGAAGGCAAAATATTTAATAAACATTCACATTTAGCTTCACCTTCAATATTTATTGCTTTAACCATATAAGAACCAGCATCATCCATAAATAATTCAGGTATTTCAAGTGTATATATATCATCTTGATTACGAATCTATTTAATAAAAATAAATAAACAGAAAAAAATTTATTTTTTGTTTCTTCTATTCTTTGTTTTTTTTTGTTTCTGTCAAACATACTTTATGATCATGTGTATTTCTTAGTGGTTGATTATCTTTATACCAAATAATTTGTGGTTTAGGTTGTCCACTAATACGTACTTGAAAAATAATACGTTCACCTTCATGAACAATTTTATTTTCTAATGATTGAAGAATAATTGGTGATGAACGCATTGGTTGTACACGTTCAGGAAATAATAGTGTATCTTTAGATTCTATGGTAACTTGACAAACCGATTCAGCTTGTCCAACTGAATTGACAGCTTGTATTCGATATAATCCACTATCATTTTCTTTTTCACATTGATCTTTTACTAAGGTACATAATTGTCCATCAAATGTTAATATTACATCACGTGTATTTTTTAATGGAATACTATTACAATACCAAATAATCTTAAAAGAAAAAAAAATAATTGAAGATTTTGTTTTTTTTTTGTTTTTACTTCTGGTTCAGGATGAGCATTTATTGCAGCATGTAGTTTTAATTTTTGTCCTTCAATTATCGTTATATCACGAAGTGGTTGAACGAAAACTGGTTTACATGGTGTATCGGACATTTCCGATTCACTAGATGTATAAGATAAAATATTAGAAAAAAAAAACAGAATTTTCTATTAACTTACGGTGTTCGACAAAAAAATCCTTCAACAGTTAATTGTGCAAATGAACGTGCTTCACCTAATGGATTACTAATTATGACTGTATACGAGCCTGTATCTTCCGGAAAGGATTCTTTGATTAATAAAGCTGTATAATCAACTTCTTTGACAACCTATTGTTATATTTAAAAATAAAGAATATGAATCTTTCCTGAATGAAATAGTTAAAACAAACCTTAAAATCTCGTGAAATACCAAGAGCAGCAAAATCAATTGGTTTTCCATCTTTTAACCATTGAACATCACCTGCTGGATTAGCATTAAAACGACATGAAAGTTTAACAGGTTGTCCTTCACGAATAAGATATGATGCTTTTAATGGTTCAGTAAGATATGGCTCGTATTGCGATGACATCATAATGTCTAAAAAAAAACAAAATTATCTAGAGACTGTTGTTATTTTTTGTTTGTTTGTTTGTTTTTGTTTATTTATGTCGTTAAAACAAAAAAAAAAACTTCGATAGTTTTTGTGGTTTTTCTTTTCTTTGATATTTAGGAAAGCAAAAGCCCTAACACTTGAGAATTCCATTAATCTTCCACACGAATAAGTCGCTTATCCGTCATAGACAACAAGAAAGACAATACGACAGACTGCCACTGTTGTCTTTCTCGACCGTCCGGATTTGTATGTACAAAAAAAAAAAAAACGCGTAAGCGTTACCAATATCATCAACTTCCGGATAAAGGCGACGATTGCATATCTACTATCTTCTTCTTTTTTTTTCTTTCTATTTCTTTTTTTTGCTTCCTGAAATATCAATGCGTATGTCTATCCTTCTTATTTACCATATTGTTGTTGCTGTTGATTAGAATAAATATGAAGATCAGCTACTGATGTTGCTTCACCACTAAGATTTGTTGCTTTACATGCATATTCTCCACAATCACTTAATTTAACATGTTGAAGTATTAAACGATATAATTGATGTTTTGATGTTAAATCTGATAAAGAATAACCTTTACATATTTCAATTCCATCATGTTCCCATATAACATGTGGAGTTGGTTCACCATAAACAATACATTCAAAAACAACTGTTGAATCAATAGAAGCATCTTGTGAACGTAATGGTTCAATAAATGTTGGAGCATGATAATGTTGATATTTATTATCAACATTAATCAATGATGTTCCAACTAGAAAGTAATAATAAATAAAAATAAAATTATTAATATTTTACAAAAAACATTTTGATCGAAATAAAGTTTAAATTTATTATTTTGTATTCTAGTTCAAATGATACATCTATTCTTGAATATTCTATGCAAAGTTTTGTATAGATTTTTCAATATTACAACTGATACATAAGTTCGAGACATTGGCAAATATTACGTACTGTAATATTACTTATAATACAAAAAAAAAAAGTAATACTAAGGCCAAATGCAACAGCAAAGATTTATGTCATTCACTATTCGTCAATGTTAATATCTGTCTGATTCTACTGTCATATGATATAAGAAGACAAGCGTTAACTTTGTTTTTTTTTTATCTATATATCTCCTACATTCTTCGTGAAACCTTTCTTTGAATGCTATTCTATCAAAAGTTATATTTAGATCCATAGAATTGTTGTCTTAGAAAACATTTACGAAATAGCTATCTCGTAGAATACAAAATAATCTGACGTGCGTATTTATGCCTTAGTTGATAATTGAGAATTCAACAGTGTAGCAATAATTTTCATTTCGATTACGTCTTATGACAAATTGCTTTATCGATAGATGATTACGTTGTTTTCATCAAGTTTAAAAAAACATTTCTATCAATATACAAACTTAAGTAAATGCATTCATATAACAATATTATATTTAACAACGCAAAAAAAACAAAAAAAGAAAAGAAAAGAAAGAAATTCTCAAACGATTGCTCTATATAAAGAATGGCATAAGGAAATTCAATATGTCCAATCTATTTCAAGCAATTGTGTTAATTCTTTTTCCTCGATGATAGGAGATTCGTTAAAGGTTTTATACATCAGAAAACAGTGAAAATAGATATTGTGTAAAACTAGTACCAATGACCTAAACGAAGAAATATTCTATTGGTTAAAAATATCTTATTCTATGATTTCAGCTGTTCGTAAGGCTAAACATATCAAATTTTTAGCATAAATACTACTTTAGATGTGTAGGTCAGTAAGATCCGTTCGGTTTGAATTATTTGAGTTGAAGAGAAGTTATGATGAAAAACAGATTGTCTCATATGAACTTCTATAATGTGAGAAAAGAAGAAGTTTATGACTTGGTGAATCTATTATTATGTAATTTTTCAATGTAGCAATTTAAACTTTGATAATATATTAAGTTTCATGTAAGAATCAACAAACTGTGAATATATTTTAATTATAATGATAGTTTGAGCAGCTTGTAAACTTACTCGTTTCTTGAATAATAGGACTGCTAGTGAGAAGCATTGTCTTATAATCACAACTTCTTTTCAACTGAAACAATTGAAACCAGTAGGAACTGGTAGCACAAACTCCAATCTTGAAAAATTTTCGTTTTTTTTCCACTGAAACTTCAGTATTTTATTGTATTTTTTATTTACTAATTGCCATAAAAATGCTTATATCTTCGCTCAAAGTTCAGTCAACTTTAGCAAGTCTTCCAATGGACTTCCTGAATCATTGATGCCTCGCAAAACTTCTGAAAATCGAAGTGGTTTCACTAACTTACTTTTCTAAGGTAAGATACACGCTAGAATTTCAAAATATTTAATTCTAAGAATTGCGGACGAAAGAACGTTCCCAACTTTCCAATTACTTTTAACTTGAAACTGTTGCCATTCGGTTGATCATAATCAGTAAGTATAGATTGCTGAGAGTCTAGCTAGTCAAATTTTGAGCTGAAAGTTCAGTTACTCAAGTTCTCAACGATTCTATGTTTATAAGACAAAAATCAAACCGAAACAAACAATATTTTTCTACTTATCATAACCGATCGAATGGCGATAGTCTCAAGCGATTGGATATTTAGGAACATTCCGTCGTGAGATACTTTTAGCTAATAGTATCCTTTTTCATTTAGATCAGTAATGCTAGTTCTACACAATATTTATAAAAAAAAACAAACTCAGTTCGATTAGTGAACATAAACTAAAGATTATTGAATTTTTTATCAGCCAATTATTTAAGGGCTATCTTATCTTTCGAACAATATTTGTCAAATAGTAAATTTAAAACTCATCAGCGAAATATTCAAATTCTTTCAAGATAGATCTTCAAAAAAGAAAATCATAAAACTTTAAAGATTCTTTTTTATTTACCTTTAACAATAAGATAAGCTGAACTTTCTACAGTTCCTGAATTATTACTTGCTCTACAAGTATAATATGCTGAATCTTCTTTTTGTACATCAACAAGTGTTAAAGTAGCTAAACCACGTTCATATTGTATATCATGTGTTAATGATGAAATAATTATTTGATCTTTAAGCCAAGTTACATTAATCGGTTCATTTCCATCAATAATACATTCAAATGTAAACCTAAAAAGTTATTTTTTGTTGAAAAAAAATAAATAAATAAAAGTTTAACTAATGAAATTCTTTACCGTGTTCCTTCATTAATTGTTGTATCTTTCATTGGTTTAACAAAAACTGGAAGTTGTTTATTAATTGAAATACTTTCTTTGATATAATCTTGTCGATGTTCAAAATTACGTTGAACTACTGATATATCTTGATGAACTTTAATAAATGCATTTATTAATTCAATATTTCTTGCTGTAACATATTTTATTCGATGTTGACCTTCATCCGATCCTGAAAAGAAAAAAAAAACAAAATTTTTTCTTTTAGAAATTTTTTTTTTTATATAATAAACAAACCAAAAATATCAACTGCTAATGTACTAATATATTTCATTTTTTCTTGTTCATATCCTTTTCCTTGATCAATAGCTATAGAAACTTGATCAAGAAGTTGTTTTGCATCATATTCTGTTTGACAATGCATTATTTCTGTACCAATATGAATTAATAATTGACTTGATTCTTGATGCCAACGTTCAATCTAAAGACAAAAAAAAGATTATGAATAAAAATAAATGAAATTAAAAAAAGAAAATATTTAATTAAACCTCATCAATAAGTTTATAATAAGTAGTTGTTTTATCAACATGTTGTCGATAATTTCCAATGGATATATAGATAGTTGATAATTTGTTTTCAATATCTTTTATTTCATGTTCAACTTGTTCATGTTCGGGATGTTTTTGTTCAATCATTATTTCTGCTGTTGTATGAAATCTTCGAACAGCTCGTTCACAACTCTAAATAAATGAAATATAAGAATATTTATTCGAAGAAAAACTTTAAAACAAACATCATAAAGACGATTGATTTCATGAATTGTTTCAGTACGATTAAGAGCTTCTTTATATGTTTGAGGAATAGTTCGTTTTCTTTTATCAATTTCCTGTTGTAATGAATCAATTTCATAAACAATCTTTAAAATAGAAAAGAAAAAAAAAATATATAAATATTGAATTGCAGTTTTTTGTTTGTTTGTAATACAAACTTTGTATTTATCATCTAGAAATTGACACCATTCAACACGTTGTTTTAATTTTGATCGATTTTCTTCATTTTGTTGTTGCCAGTGAGAATATTTTGATTCGATTTCATTTTGTTTTGTATAAATTTCATCAATAAATGAATGTACTCCACACTGAAAGAAATTTTTAAACAATTGTTTTTTTACTAGAATATTCTTATTAATTGTAAGAGAAAATTTTAAAGATGAGCTTTATGATTGACATATTTCTGATGAAAAATGATACTTAGTAGATACAACTGATTCAACATTATGACATAATCGATTACAAGAAAATTTCATTTTTTATTTAGTACTGTTTCAATAAAGAAAGAAACTAGAAAATTCAATAAGGAGAATCGTATTATTAAAATAACAAATTAGGCTTGAAAATGCTAAAGGTAGTCATAGATATTTGAAATGAAGACATGTATTGAGGTGATAATTAGAAATAAGAGAAATAATAGTTCAATTCGATATTTTTTCTCGTGATCTGATTAGTTTCATTTGTGAATTAGAGAAGATCTAGTTTAAGAAAATAGATGAATGCTATAAAATGAGCATAAATTGTAAAAGCATACTTCTGTTAATCAAAAAAATTGATTAAAACTTCAGGTTTCTCTACCACAAAAACTTTTAATTAAGTTTTGTGAAAAAAACCACCATTGTTTTATTTGTATTCTAATGTCTAATATATATGAGGACTCCTAATAACGCTTGAACAATTCCACCTGTTCAATCACTTTTCGCCTGAAACTCTAATCATTGGATTCGTTATGATGAGTACTAAAAGTATCTGTTTTTGTTTAATATTTCGGTCTT